AAGACCCCTATTGATTTTGGGGTCACAAGGTCAAAGGTCAAGGTCACTATTACCTTAAAACTGAAAACAGTTTTCGCTCAATAACTCAAGTATTAATCAACCTACAGCTGTAAAACTTTATAGGATGAACAGTCATGTCCAATACATGACCCCTATTGATTTTAGAGTCAGAAGGTCATAAGGTCAGGGTCACAATGACCTTACACTGAAAATTGTTGTTTATGGAGAACAACTTAAGTTTCATTTGGCCCACAATATTCAAACTTCATAGGACGATTGTCCATATTGGGTAGAAGACCCCTTTTGATTTTGGGGTCACAAGGTCAAAGGTGAAGTTCACTATTAACTTAAAACTGAAAACAGTTTCCGCTCAATAACTTAAGTATTAATTAGGGCTGTAACGGTTTACCGGTACAACGATATATTGCGGTGCAGGATAAATAAATATTGTACCGCATTTAGTTGTACTGGTTTTATTTAGTTATAACAGTGTTCCATAATTTCCTCTATAAATAAAAGAAAGTCTTCCATAATTTTCTTGATAAAATGAAAATGTCCCATGCACAAAAAAAAATAACAAACCAAAAGTAGGAAGTGTGTAAAAAAACGGTGATAGGATAAAAGAAATACATGGTGCCCGGGTAAACAAATGCTTGAATAAACGAATCAAAGCGCTTCGGTGATTTACTATGGCAGATGAAAATAATTACCAGTACCTTAGATTAATAACAATACGTATCGCAATATATTGCAATACGGATGTGGCATATTGCAATATATTGCAATACGCTTTTTACCGTATTGTTACAGCCCTAGTATTAATTAACCTAGAGAAGTAGAATTTTACAGGATGAACAGCCAGGTCCATATCTCCTTTTGTGACAATGTTGCCCTTCTTAACTTGTGTACTCTACTGGCTTACTAAACAGTTGATGTCCCAATGATGCAAATAGTGTGGCTTTCTTTTAAATTGTCATGGTTTTGATGCTTTTAGATTCCTTTTGTTTTACATGACAAAAAGTCTCTGTGACAAGCACTTAATTTATGACCCTGATGTGTACATGTATTTAAGTTTATCTATACCCACCACAGGTCACCCATATGGGCGAGTCCTCCAGAAGTCTGTTAGTAATTTGTTAGGAAGGATAGTGCATGAATATGGAAGATGCCCCAATTCCAGGGGCTTTTCTGGTTCTTTCACTTGTAAGGTGTAAAGCACCATTGCATTGGACATCTGTTTTAAGTCTCATCCAAAAGACTGTTAGTAAGCAAAGAGGTAAGCCAAAAAATCATCTTTCCTGTTTGGCATCATATGACCTAAATTGTGTTTGTGCTCTGCAAAACCATACCAAATAAAAAAACATCTTGTATTAATATATCACAACAAAAAATGTTTAAATAAACACTTGATACCATGTTAAAAACTAATATATTCTTTCAGATTCATCAGTGTAAACTGCAAAAGGGTGATGTAAAAGACAGTGAGAGAAACATTGAAATAAAGTCCGACAACAAATCTGATAATGGTAATTATAATTAACTATGATCATTTGTAAGAATTAATATATTTCTATAATGATTTTTCTATAAGTCAAAAGTTTCAATTCCTTCCTCTTGTTTATAGAAAACCTGTACATTTAGTTTTATGGTATGTATAATAAGTATTACACAGTTTGTTAGTGATTTATGTGACCTTAAATAAAATTTTATTCTGACCAAATGACATTAAAAATATTTACACTTTTTTATTTTTTGTCTTGATAAGCAATCAATAGGCAAGATTAGTCTGATTAAATCATAAATTGTATCTTATGAGTCAATAGATTAAAAAATCTTTTGACAAACCCACTGTAAGGATTTTGCACCTAAAGGATTTATTTGTCAGTCATTTTTCCAAGGTAATATCACAATAGATACCTGAAATGAGTGCCTGATATCAGTTTTCCAAATAATAATTATCTTGGATATGTGTATTTGTAACTATTTTAACTTTCACTTTGTCCAATAGAGATGAGATTGTGTTTAGATACAATTACATGTAAGAAATGAGTAGTTACAATTAATTATATAATATCATAATTAATTATATAATATATATAATATATTATAATATCATTTTGATATTTTTTTATCATTAATTTGCCTGAGTATCCCTTTAAGGTTTTGTTCAATTTGTATTTGACAGATTTTGTCTAAAATCCCCACTATGATTCGTTCCCTAGTTTTTTCATATCAGGCGCTAATTCACAGCTGTCTGCTAATTAGTATAATGATCGTAAGAAAGTTTCTACCGTTTCACCTTCCATTTGGTTTTTCTTTGGATTGAAATGTTTATTGAATTTTCTTAAGACAGTGTCATATTTCTTCGCATTACTTTCTGACAGCTCAAAGGATTTTAACAAATTGTCAGCTTCCTTTTCCATGGAAGATATAAGTTGAGCGACTTTTATCTCTCCTTTTTCTTTATCTGATTCCTATATACATGTAGCTAAAACAGTGAAACACCAAAGAAGCCAGACTTGCTGCGCTAATATTTAATTTCAAGATTAAATTAGATAAAAACATGTGTGCCAGAAAAACTGTATATACTGAAACCATTTAACATTTGCTACCAGGTAACCAGAACGGAATGCCAAATAATTTACTGGCTAATGCAACTGAAGAAACTTATTTTTAATACAGGCAAATTACAGGCATGGACATCAAAAGTGCATCTCTGTGTCACAATCATGTTGCCAGCAGCCAAGATAACGAATGGAAAAGCCATTCATGGGTAACCAAACATGGCTTCCATATACCAAATTAGCCACTGCATAGGGGGAAGCTGTTCATTGTTTGACTCCAGGTCGAAAAGCAATACCAACCTGTTCCACTAAACATTTTGCGATAACAGTGCCAATGGATGTCTTTCGGCCAACAAATGCAACCGGTATCCAATCACAGATGATGGGTATAAGTCCAGCCACTGCAAGAGTCCAAAGGGTATAATGCGAAGCAAAGTTACAGATGGGTAAAAACATTTAGCCAAAGTTGCTTTACAACGCATACCTGGTGTATCATAGAGACAGTCACAGACACCAATGGTTACCCATTAATATGGCCAACAGGGCAGCGATTGCAATGGACAAGCCTACACCAAAACAACTCGGGCCAGCAAAGCAAAATGCAAAAGCAACTGTGGTTTCACCAAGTACTGTGGGCAAAACACACTCAACCCAGTCCATAACATGAACTAGATGTACCAAAATGACAGTGCCAGTACGCGAGAATGATAGCCCCAACACGCCTCATAAACAGAAACGATTGGCATCTACCACCATAGACAATGCATGGGGAGGGTGCAAACATTGTAGATACATGGGTTGATAAAGTAAGATAGCAATAAGCAATACTGATTCAACCCTGCCATTCAGGGGAATCAACTCAACCTGAACCTGCGCTCATGTGATTTCTTTATACCTATATAATTACTGACATTCCATAGCAGCGGTTTATCACAGGGTACCCAGGAGAAATAGCTGCCACTCTATGGGCAACTCCGTAAAACAATGTAACACTGCCCGTTTCCTACTAAGTACATTATGCCAAAATCTCTCAAATTACATGTACCTCTCGTAACTGACACGTCTGACTCCCTTTTAACAAAAACAAAAGAGCAACTAAAAAAGTAAGATAAAGCAGTTTCTGAATACATCAGAGTCCTAATGAATTGTCTATTCATTATCTTTGTAGCACGCATATGATTGTGAATCACACAGTAAGGTCAAGGTCAATGTCACGTTAGACGTCAAAGGTTAAATATCAGAAATATCATGTTTGCTATGTAAATCTAATACCCCTTTAAAAAAAAAATGTTCAAACATGGCTCAAATGTTACCTCCACTAGAGGATGTGCAGAAGCCATGTCATGGCTTTGCTGGCTCAAGATCAAGGTCACATTGGAGGTCAAAGGTCAAATATCAGACAATTTTGTGACCACTCTGTAAATTTTATACCTTTTGAAGGATTTTTTCTACAAACTTAGTTGAAGTGTTAACCTTAATAAGACAATGTTCAGAACACATGTCAATTGCTCTACTGGTTCAAGGTCAGGGTCACAATCTGAGGTCAAAGCTTAAATTTCAGCCAATTTTATGGCTCTTCTAAAAATCCTTTACAACCTGAAGGATTTTCTTCAAACTTTGCTCAAATGTTCATGTAAAGAAGGTGTTATGCAGGACCCATGCAACTTTGTGATGACTTAAGGTCAAGGTCACCCTTAATTATCTGCAATGGCAGTTCTAAATTTTTCGTATGACCTTTTTTAAAATAATAATTGCCTGTGTCATAGAAAATAGCTAGGGGTATTTGTCTCTCCTGTGGCAGCTCTGATTTATTTTGCCAGAGGCCAATTTAAATGGACTTTGCACAAGTTGCCATCCACTGTACGCAGTGAACAGACTTGTAATAAGGGTCTCTCTTTTATGTAGGAATAATTTATAAAAGGGCATAGAGGAAATTAATTATAAACTGAATAGTTAAGATTTTTTTTTTTCAGATGACACCAAATGCCAGTTTATATCCAGTTTACACAGGTTACAATCCACTTAATGACAGACATATCTATTGGGTCAGTTCTTTTCACAGAAAAAAATCAAAATAGTGGATAAATAATATGAACTATTAACTTAATAATGAAACCAAATTTATTATTAATACCCCCACAAACGAAGTTGAGGGGGTATATAGGAGTCATATTGTTGGTTGGTTTGATGGTCCATCAGTTGGTCTACTCCATGGTTTCTGGATGATAATTAGAGTTTGTAATGAGGTGTTGTAATCCAACCTGGTATATAGCAAGCTTATATGAAGACCCCGGTTGGTATTGCTTTTTGATCCCCTGGGTCACCCTTACTAAAAATAGAAAAATGGTTTACAGACAATAACTAGAGTTAGGAATGAGGTAGTGTGATCAAACTTGATGTAAAGCAAGCTTATATGAAGACTCAGGCTGGTATTGTATTTGGACCCCCTGGGGTCAAGGTCATTGTTACTTAAAATAGAAAAATGGTTTCTGGACAATAACTACAGTTAGGAATGAGATATTTTAATCAAATTTAAATTAAAGCAAGCTTATATGAAGACCCTGGTTGGGATTGCTTTTGGACCCCTGGGGTGAAGGTCACTGTTACAAGAAATAGAAAAATGGTTTCTGGACATGAACTAGAGTTAGGAATGAGATAGGATAATCAAACTTGATGTATAGCAAGCTTATATGAAGACCCCAGTTGTTATTGCATCTGGACCCCTAGGGTCAAGGTCATTGTTACTTAAAATAGAAAAATGGTTTCTGGACAATAACTACAGTTAGGAATGAGATATTTTAATCAAATTTAAATTAAAGCAAGCTTATATGAAGACCCTGGTTGGGATTGCAATTAATTGAAATAATTCTTTGCACTCAGTTGAAACTTTATAAATTACAGGTCAAGTTGAAATTTTTCTTCAGACCACTTATTTTTTTAAAGTCAAGGTTGCTGGTGGTCTTTAGTGATAGCTTTAGTTTGCATCTACTTTACACAAGACACCACTTTTAATCCATTTTTCAACAGTTTCCACCCACTTAACACCATTTAATGTTACTTTACACCACTTTTTGTACTTTAGGCACACTGCTGGGCTTGTTGCACAGTCCATACTATAGCTTAAAATCTGTAATGGATTTAACTCATTACAGTGTTGGAGCAGACACTTGACTGAAATTATGATAACAAATTAGAAAAATACCATTTTTTGTGTTGATTTTTTCTGTTTTTGTTCATCAACATACTTAAATCAGTGTGAGAAGATGAATTAGCTGTTTAAAAAAAGCACATTTCTTTGGATGAAAAGGCAAGATTTTAGCATTTCATTATTCAAACGCCCATCTGGATAGTACTGAAATATAGCATACAGTGTGATGCTCCAACATATTTTTTAGTCTTGCCCATTTATACTTAGTTCTGATAGGAAACTTGACAAACAGTGTTTTATTTTCAAATTTGTTATTTCTTTCATCTAAAATATTAAATAATTTTAAAGCAGAAAACAAACCCATTTCACATTTCAAAATAATTGCCAGCCGCAATCTTCTTAGACTAGGTCATACACCTAGCCAAAAAAATTCAGAAATCCTAGTTGGTCATATTGTTTGCTATTTCATTAGCAATGGGTCCTTATTAACAGAAGTTCAAAACAAAAGTAAACGACTGGGTCGTGTAAGTATTAATGAAGTATGCTTATTTTTTTCTTCAGGAATGAATATTGCAAACACCTACCTTAGGGAAACAGCATCAGACTCAGAGGACTTAAATGAGCATAACGTACAAAGATCATCCTGCTCTGCTGTCAAGCATTCTAGAGTGGAAGAAGAACTTTCTGCCAGAAAAACATTGGTATGTGCCGTGGCAAATTTGTCTTTTAAAATTTGCATATCATTATATAAATATAAGACTCCTGATTAACTTATTGTATTTGATATTAATTTCATTTAAAACCTGTACTTTGAATGAATAAACAGATTTGATTTTGTTTTGTTCTGTAGAACTCGAGAAGGGACTTTAAACATGGTCATCACCAAACATTAAACATCAGATGGCACAAGAGGGACTCTGAAATGGTCACAACATATTTTTCAAATTGTATTTATGATGTATCAAGATATGATGCTAAAGGTGCTTTACCAGGTAAATAAAACATTTCCTTTTTAGCTCACCAGAGCACTGCTCATTCCTGTGGAGTTTTATCAAAATCAACCTTATGGTTAACTAGATGTTATTTTCAGAAATTGTGAAGAAGACAGAGGATGGACACCCATTCAGTTGTTAAGTGCTCATGTGAGCCAACAATTGTCCATATGCTGGCAGCATTTGACATGTTATTCAGGTTAATTTTCTGAAAATCTGTAAAATTTGAATTTACTTAGATATTTGGAATAAAGCATATCCTGGCAGAAATTAATACTGTTGATGCTCTGCTAGACCAAACATGAAAAATTTATTTATGTGCCTGCGGTAAAAAATGGCTGATGTAGTTTAGCTTAATTAATGGCCTACATTGAAGAGTCTTGACCTATTGTAGTACTGTTTATAAGGTAAGCAGTTTAGGGCCATGGTGGCCCTCTTATTATGTGTTCTTTTAGTACAAATTTAGAAATTCTTATTCTCCAAAATCACTGTTAGAGCTTAGATGTTTTGCCTGAAATATTTCTTAATGGACCTCTACAAAGTTTTAAAAAATTATAGTCCTAGGGTTAAAATTGGCCCCATCCCAGAGGGACATAGCTTTTCCTTTAATGCATATAGAAAATTCTTTGAAATTATTCTCCTTTAAAACCAAAAGGACTGGAGCTTAGATATTTGGCATTAAACACTTCCTACTGGACCTATATAAAGGTTGCCCAAATTATAGCGCTAGAGCCAAAAATGGCCCAACTCTCTGGGGTCATGAGTTTTCCTTACATATATATAGATTATGATTTGAAAATTCCTTCCTTCAAATCCAATAGGGCTAGAGCCTAGATATTTACATGTAGCATTGGCTCTATAAGAGTTATATAATTGGTCCAGATCTGATGCATTACAGGTCACAAGAGCTAAAATTAGTCTTTTTTAATAGAATCTTTAAAAACCTCTTTCTTAAAAAAACACAATGCTCAAGGCTTCGATATCTGACATGAGCATTATTTTGTGGTACTCTACAAAATTTGTATACCCCTGGAGTCAAAATTTGCACCACCCAAGGGGTCACTTCGTTTATATAGAGTCAATTAGGAACTTTTTGTGGAATACTACAATGTCTAGAGCTGAGATATTTGGCATGTTGCATTGCCTGATAAACCTCCACAAAAGTTGCATAAAATATTTCAGTTAAATGGATATGTAGGTCAAAAGAGCTAAAAATAGACTTTGAAAATGACAACCTAAAGATCTTCTCAAAAACTGTAAGGCCCATAGCTTCAATATTTTGCATTTAGCATAACTTCATGGTCCAAAGCTTAGATATTTGGCATGAAGCATAACCTAGTAAACTTCAACAAACTTTGTGGAAATTTTTACAATTTTGTGCATACATAGGTCACAAGAGCTTAAAATAGACTGTAAAATGAAATCTCAAAAGGTTTTCGGTATGTCAAACAGATATTAGTTTGAATGAAACATTAGCTAGGGAAGTAACTGGAGTAATATTTTTTTGTCAATAACTTTTGTATTCATCTGATGGTAAAAGAAAAAAAAGATTATTAAATCTAAAATAGATTTTACGATTTGATTTGGGTTATGAAAATTTGTTTTCAGTAACTTTACTGTAATCAAGTTGATTTTGGTAACATTACGGACCTAAATATTGTGGAAACCAGATTTTTTCACTGCCTGATAAAAGTTACAGTTACTACTTGGAAATAGTATGCTTAGCCCAAAATGGTTGATATTTCAAAACGGGAGACTTTGTTTATCTACCATGATATCCGAAGTTGCATTTCATAAGGATACCCTTGTGTCCTCATGTGAGGGCTCTGGGGCTAATGGCCCCCTTTGTTCTTAAATATCCCTTTCAGTTTGTCTTGAAATTTTGAATGAAATTATTGTTGTTTTCTATTGCAGGATATAAAGAAATACAGAAATTTATAAGAATCCATCCAGATGTTCTATCTGAACTCCCTTTATCAAAGAGGATATGGAAAATTCATACCAAAATAAACAATGAAAGAAATAAGTCCAGACAACTAGCTAGAAAAACAATGCAGGAAAAATGAAATAACATATCAATTATATCTCTTAGATTGAAAATATTTCATTTATTTACATAAGTAGAAAAACATAACAAAACTGAAATGTGTTTAAGGTCTGAATGAAACACGGATTATAATCAGCTGATGCAGTATGAGGACAATGTTAATTTAGAATGTGTGAATTTGATATCTGGAGTTTCCTTGTATGACAAATGTTTTTATTGTTAACAAAAGGATTATTTATGATTCATCATAAAGAAAATTGGAAAATGTAGTTACAAATAGATATTTGTGAGGTTACTGATTCAACAGTTTTGATATATATTATGTTAAGTGTATTTTGAATATCTAACTTAAAGGAATTAGAAAGGGACTGAGCTTAACAATGAATTCATTATCTATAAGTCACTTTACAAAAGTTTCATGTTTGATTTTCAAAGAATGATAAAACTGTTAGGATATCGTCTTAACAGTCATGATAAATGTTTCATTAATTTGAAAGAACAATCCTGATAAACAAATGTCAAATTTCAATATTGTTGTATGCTTAATATGCTTTATCCTTTGCAATTAATACAAATTGAATGCTGAAACTGTAAACCACTTGTCATAGACTAGCAAAATTGTCTGGAAACTGATCAGGTTCAAAGCAATATGATCTAGAATGTTTAGAATATGTTTTACATTTAAGATGAATTACAGTAGGTGCCAAAATAAATGTAACGGCCATGTCTTATGTAAAATGTAATTTCTTGTAAAATTTAAAATGTAAAGTCACTGTAAATACATGTTTTCTGTAATATTTAAAGGTCAATGTTACAGATTTTGTTACTATAGCAAACTTTGTCTGTACAATGACCTTGTCTTGGATCAAAAAAATCTTTGACAGACATATGTCATTACTCAATGAATTGAGACATGTTTCCATGTACAACAAAGGTGCCATCTGTCATCTTGATAACAGTAAACTTACATGAAGTTACAGGAAATCTGTATGAAGGCTTTACATGTACATAGTTGTAAAGAAAGCAATTATCAATAAAAATATCAAACCACTTGGATTTATTATTGAATGCTATAAACATGCTTTCCAATTTTTTTTATGCCCAAATGTACAATTCAGCCTGCCAAAGTGGATTTCTTGGCTTGAAAGTGGATCATTGTTTTAGTGACAATATTTTTTTTCACCTACAACTTTTAAAAAAACGTACAAAAACTTTACTTGCGAGTCATGAAACTTCACAGGAATGTTTGTCAGCATGACTGTGTAGTTGTGCACCTGGGTTTTCGCTTGTAGATATTTTCAGCAGTTGCCCAGTTATTTGCTCTTGACTTATTTTTTTGCTACATGATGACAATTACAAAACTTCATATATGAAAATAAGTTTAAATTTAATTGTTCAGAAAGATGAGTGGAAACAGTTACAGACAGGGATCCCATACAGCTTTAAACAAAGGTTTAAAATAAGATCTGTATGACTAACCTTTGTTAAACTACAGTAAGCTTTATGGATCTATGAAAAACTCAATTCTGAGTATGGTAGACATTCATTAAAAGAGTCAACATTAAACTGAATACTAACTTTTGATAATCAAATACTAGTCACTGATAAAAACCACTTGAAGTTATATGCAATAAAAATTAAAATGACAGTTTGTCAGTGGTTTATTTCAATAGCTAGCTGGCAAATGTCAGATCAACATATGGTATACCAACATTTATATAACATTCAGAAAGTATTTCATTTTGTTTGTGCATGTCGTGTCAAGGCTAACTCTGAAGTAGGCCTTTGCTCCAATTGTTTGCTTGATAGAATATTTCATATTTTGTAGTCTTAATTCTATTAACGTGACTGTAACTCCTTTTTAGCTCACCTAAGCACAATGTGCTCAATGGTGAGCTATAAGAATCGAGTTGCGTCCGTCGTGCGTCATTAATGGCGTCAAACTTTTCATTAAAACAACATCTCCTCATATACTATTAGGCCAATGTTGCTGACACTTGGCAGGAATGTACCTTGCATGAAGCTCTTTTAAACTGTTCAGAGAATTCAATTCCATGCAGAACTCTGGTTGCCATGGTAACAAATATGAAAAATTTAAAAAATCTTCTTGTCAGAAACTATGAAGCCTAGAGCTTAGATATCTAGCATGTAGCATAGTCTAGTGGACCTCTACAAAATTTGTTCAAATCATGGCCCCAGGGTCATTATTGGCCCCACCCCGGGGGTCACTTGATTTTAAATAGGAAAATTTTAAAAATTTTCCTGTCAGAAACTATAAAGCCTAGAGCTTAGATATTTGGTATGTAGCATAGTCTAGTAGACCTCTATCAAGTTTATTCAAATCATGGCCCCAGGGTCAATATAGGCCCCACCCTGGAGTCACTTAATTTTACATAGACTTATATAGGAAAGCTTGAAAAATCTTCTTGTTGGAAACTGTGAAGCCTAGAGCTTAGATATTTCGTATGTAGCATATTCTAGTGGACATTTACAAAGTTTGTTCAAATCATGGCCCCAGGGTCATTATTGGTCATGCCCTGGGGTCATTTGATTTTATAAAGGAAAACTTAAAAAATCTTTTCAGAAACTATAAAGCCTAGAGCTTAGAAATTAGGTATTTAGCATTGACTATTAGACCTCTATCAAGTTTGTTTAATTCATGGCCCTAGGGTCAATATTGGCCCGGCCCTGGAGTCACTCAATTTTACATAGACTTAAATAGGAAATATTTAAAAATCTTCTTGCCAGAAACTATGAGGCCTAGAGCTTAGATATTATTTCGTATGTAGCATAGCCTTATTGACTTCTACAAAGTTTGATCAAATCATGGCCCCATGGTCAATATAGGCTCCACGCACTGGGGTCACTTAATTTAACATAGACTTATATAGCAAAACTTTAAAACTCTTCTAATGTCAGAAACTATGAAGCCTAGAGCTTAGATATTCGATATGTAGCATAGTCTGGTGGATCTCTAGTACCAGGATTGTTCAAAGTATTTCCCCAGGGTCTTTATAGCCACACCCTGGGAGTCACTTAGTCATTTGATTGTTTTTATTTTCAGAAAATTAAACTTTCATTTTCTCTTGAAATTTATTTTTAGATATGACCTGCAAATATTAAAGGTACTGTATGTTATATATTAAGAATATAACATCCTATCATCATATAGGCAGTTCTGATATCCAAATAAATAGTTATGAATATAAAAGATATCATCAAATGATTGACAATTTTTTACATAGCATATAATATTTTTTTTAGTTGACTGACATTTTTTTTATCTAAATCATATCTCAACTGAGGCAAAAGATCATAAAATTTTAAATTGTGCAATATCCTTACTTAATTGGCTTTCTGTTACATTAAAACATCTGTATTTTTTATTTGAACTAAAGATTTTTCATATATATATATATTTTTTTTAGTTACAGTGTCTAGATGGTTTTTTTATTTGAACAAAAGATTTTTAATATAAAATTATATTTTTTTATGTTACAGGATCCTTATTGTTTGAAATAACAGAAAATCATTTTAATGAGGATATGGCCCAATTTTAAAATTAATGATAATAAAGGGAGATAATTAAAAATGTGTTTTAGATAAAAACAAAAATGTCAGTTTGCATCAACTAAAAGAAATTTTTATTTTTTTCTGATAAATATATGCTATATAAAAAATTGTCAATCATTTGATGATATCTTTTATAATCATAAGTATTTATTTGGTAATCAGAACTGCCTATAGGATGATATACCCCAGGAAATTGTGCTTGAGAAAATGACCTAATTTTGCCTCAGTTGAAAACAACATGTGTGATCAATTTTTATTGGGAACTATAAGTTCTACAGTACAATTTGTTTTAGATATATAAAGATTAACTTATATTTTAAGCTTTTAAATTAATAAATTGGATTTATGCAGTTATTTAAGGTATGACCTTCCTAATGCATTACCTCTGCTTTGAAGAGTATTCAAATAGGCTAGAAATTGAAACTAAGGGCCATGGGTTCAAAACTTCAGAAGGGTCAACTTTTTTTCTTTCATTATTTTTTCTTTTAACATTATTTATGTATTTTTCATAACCTTTTTGGACAGAAAAAAGTGATTAATTTTAATAACAAAATTTATAAAGGTATTTATTTACTAAATAATGCTAAATCTTATTACAAATATAGTACGTGATATTTTCAAAGTCTAATGAGCCCTTCATTTTCGAAAATTTTAGGGATTTTTTTAGTTAGGCCCTCTAAGTTGGAAAATGGTCAAACATTTGTTAAAAATGGGTGGGGTAGGGAAATTTTTTTATACATATTTCATAAAGTTTCAGTAGAAACAGTCATTTTGCTTTTGTGGAATGTTAGATGAATGTTATTTTTTGTATTCCTAATAATAATTAATGGGAAAACATTTTTCATAAGGATGATATTGTTGATTATTTAAAGGTTCATCATTACTGGAAAAGGGCCCTTTTAACATCCAAGCTTAACTTCACAAGTGACCATAAAGTTTGTTTAAATTTCGCAAGCAGGTGTCTTTTAAGGCATATATCTGATCTATATTGTCAATTTTGTTCAGTTCCTTATAGTGCCCGTTAGGGTGGTTTTAAAGTATTTGGAAAACAGTTGCAGGGTTTGTTTTTTGGGAATGCTGACAGGTCATGACATTTTTGGAAAATAATGAAAATCTCTCTACACAAGCATTCCAGAAAGGTCATGACCTCCTAGCCATCAATTATACTTTATTTTACATGGACTTGTATAGGAAAACTTTAAAAATCTTCTTGTCAGAAATATGAAGCCTAGAGCTTAGATATTTGGTATGTAGCATAGTCTAGTGGACCTCTACAAAGTTTGTTCAAATCAGGGTAATTATTTGCCCCCCAACGGGGGTCATAGGAAAACTTTTAAAGTATAAAAGCCAAATCATGGCCCAAGGGTCAATATAGGCCCGTCTTGGAGTCACTTAATTTTACATATTCTTGTCAGAAGCTCTAGAGCTTAGATATTTGGTATGTAGCATAATCTATAGACCCTTTCATTTAAGCGATAACAGTCAGTGAAGAGTTACTTCCCTTACCGGATGTGACGTAAATGGGGGATAAAACTATGCATGCCGCATAGAAAGTTAGCTTATTGAAAAGTTAAATGCATAAATACTGATCGTTCAATTATGATTATAACATGTAAAAATTTACGCATGGATACATAAATTCAATATCAAGACAAAAGAAAAAAATACAAAAGCAAAGATTGAGATTAATTCTCGCTACCACAGATTTATAAATCTACATGTCGCAACGGAGTGAAACAGAGAAATTTCAAAGTGAAATTTTTCATTAGATCTAGATTTTCTCAAATGCCAGGATAAAAAGCTAATAACTAAATCAAATTTTAATATTTTACAAACACCTATACACACCGAAATTGCCTATTATAAATTTAAATGGCCATTTTCTAGTTTTCTGTGTTATTTTCTGTCATTTAGAAAATTCTGGCGTATTTGTAACAAACCTGAAAACACGGATTTATATTACATTAGTAATGTAAATCCGTGTTGAAAATAAGATTACCAATGTCTTTTAATGA